ACCACGACCATGATTATAACAACCACGACCATGAATATAACAACCACGACCATGATTATAACAACCACGACCATGAGTATAACTCACGACTATGATTATAATAACCACGACCATGATTATAACACCCACGACCATGATTATGACAACCCCGACCATGAATATAACAACCACGATCATGAATATAACAACCACGACCATGATTATAACAACCACAACCATGATTATAACAACCACGACCATGATTATAACAACCACGACTATGATCATAACCACGACAATCTATCTATTATATTATAGGAATAGCCGTGTGTCTGTTTTGGGCAGCCAAAACGGCACAATCTTTTTCATCAAACTTGGTGGAAAAATCGCAAAAAAAAATCGTAGAGTGGAACAAACCTGGTCTCATGTCGATGGTTTCTTTAGGAAGGCATTAATTAACCATTTTATTTAGGCTGGAAAACGATGACGCTGTTTGCTGTCAGCTGGACGGCGGTTGCGCGATAGCCAAGCACGAGCGTTCAAACTTTTACGCTTTGGTAAACTGTACCACCGGACTCGCCAACGGGCACGAAGGGCCCACGATCACTTGTGGTTTACTAAGAGAGATGGAGTGGCTGTAAAACGAACAAATATAATTTTGGTTTTACTGATTAAAAGCTGTCTTTTGACAAAGGTTCTTGAATTCCCTACATTATAACACTGAGATAATGTGTTGTCAGGTTATGAAAACATTGCAAAAGTTGACAAGCTGAAAAAAAATTAATGTCGTTATATCACATTGCATATTTAAATTTCATGAAAAAGAGCCGGTGAAATCTCTATTGCCCCATGGCGATGCTGGGTGGGCGTTTGACCATTAACTTCATGATAGTTTCACCAGGTATGAGAGATGTGTCAAGGCCAAATTCATCTTCCACAGTCGCCAGATCAAGGGTCTTGATTGTTTCAAAACCTTGTTTATTGTAAATCTTCTCCGACAAGGTATTGGTGACCTTTACCTCTGACGCCGAGTAGCCTCGCTCCTCACCGAGCTCCAGAGTTTTCTGAAACACAGATATGTTGGGAGATATTCAGACATTATTTATAATAAACACTTTTAATTCTAAACACTATAAGAATCTCTACATTTAACACATTTTAAAACATGAGAAAGGTTATCTGATGGTTCGTCTGCATTCAAAGAGTTAATGTGAAAGACCAGTTTTGCTGCTTTTTCCGTATCAAGGCGGTTCCTCAGTTTCGAATGAACAAGTCCATCGAAGGAGAAGACTAGGAACAGTAGCTGTCAACAAGGGAAGAAGACCTGATTATTTTGTCTTCAAATTTTATTGAAATAAAAAAGCCAACTTAAATCAAATAAATCCGATTTAAACCATTTAATACATTTTTTAAATAAAATAAATCTGCTTTGTTTGAAATAAAAAATAACAACCCTGTTCACATCTTAAACTGCACGACAGATAATCCCTCACTTTATTTTCGGCTGATGAACTTTATATAATATAAAACTACTCTGGCGCCACAACAATAAAGACACCATCATGACCTTTGCTGTTCATAAATTAATCTGTAAGAGTTAGGTGGTTCTTATCCGCAAACAAATATTTTTTTATTTATTTATTTTTCTATCTAGGTCCAGAGGGTCCTGTATGATGCCACAACTCTCTAACAACACTTGATTGTAAACAACACCCTGTCTAGTCCCTGGCTCCCCCAGCTAATCCCTGACCCTCTAAAGATTGTTTAGACACTCAATTCGTTTCACACCAGAGTTTTGGAATTATGTTTGCATACATTACACAATCTCATTATAATAGTGTACATAGCAAAGGATAGCAACATCGGGTCAGTTTTGTACAGTATTTGGATGGGTGACTTCCTGAGAACACCAGATACAGTATTGTCAGCATAAAAATCCTATTGTACAGTAGCATTAACTCTAACCTAGAAAAAATTATAAAACATTTTTTTTTCAGAATTGCTGTTTTGATGTCTACCCAATACCACACAGTAAAGTCGCCTAAAATACCACTTGACGAAACGTCAGAATTCCAAGGTGGCCGCTGTCTTAATTCGTGAATATTTTGAAAACACCAAAAGAGCTATAAGGTTGTTATTACTTATCACAGGAAAATAAAACTTGGCTCTAGACAGAGGTTTTGGGGTATAAAGATTTAAATGGAATCATCAGAATCTAAATTTGAGGTAATTTTGTCACCATACATTGAATATTCCATCATTGTGATTCATCACTTCTTAAAAAACTCTGAATAAATTAAGCCATGTTGCGAGGTCTGTTTCAATATGATTTCCATTGGATGTCGTAAGTGAAAGCTGATAATTTGTATCAATATGATGATGGTTCTTCTTTCTTTTCGGGCTTTGAGTGACAATGGAGAAGATGGGAGATTTCTGTGGCTATCCCATTACTTCCGATCTTGGTCATATAAGACAAAAGGGTTTGGCAAGCATTATGGGTATCAGTGATGAGCGAGGTGATAGCCTTCATGCAAAATGGCAGAAGAAGAGCTTTATCAATCCCCATTCAGGATAAATGTCGGTAAGACTATACACTGGTATCAAATATCGTCCGTTGTAAGAGACTGTACCGTGCTAAGACCATCAAAAACATAAAGGAAAAGATCAGAAGGAACCATTGAAAAAACGTGAGCATAGTCATGAAGCTGAATCACTACCATTTTTGCAATCAATTACCACGAAAACTAATGAACGTAACGATGAATGAGGGGCTGTGGTAAAACTTCGTTTGCAAAATATATCTGACCTAATCGCTGCTGAAAGGACTTAACATCATTATTGCCAGGTGCGTTTCAACTGCAGAAATCAGCTTGCTGGCAATCCAGATGATGAGAAACGACCACGTGGTCGACCATGATAACTGCGAGTGAGTCAGGAAAAGAGACCATTCATACTCTCCTAGATACTGGCAACATGATCCTCAGATTTAACTTTGTGTACAGTGGTTTGACACAGGAAGCTATCATAGACATGGCTGCTGCTATAATTCAGGATAAAATACGATCGAAAACATAATATGATGCTCTCATTATCCTAAGATGTGCCAGTTAGGTGTTTGTGAATGAGTGTCAATATTCCTTCACAACCTTCTGGATGGGTTAATCAAGACAAAGACTGATGGCCCTACAGTCACACAACGATGCCTTACTGTCATTGCACATAGCTTTATATCGGCTATTAGACTATGCTCATTTGTTTCTCTTCCTCTTTCAGCCATTCCTGCGTACATTAATCGGAAGTTATGAGTCTCATGAGCTGATTTTTATCCCAAGTAGCTTGTCGTTTGCAGAAAATTACAGGGAGATCCCGCTTTTTCATGATGCACTTCTATCCAAGTAGGGAGCAGTTGTATGGTCTGTCAGATGATCGTGTAAACTTCGTATTTAACAATGCTAATATCATTGAATATACATTTACAGGTCTAGGTGCAGTTGGGTCCATTTCTGAACTCTAGAGGGTGAATTCCAAGGATTAGCAAGTGCACAGGAGGGAGAGAGGAAAGACGTGTAGGCGTCTTTCTCGGGGGGTGGACGGGATGCTGGAGGTGAACAGGAAGCGGGCAACATATATTTATTGTAATATACACTTGATGTGAACAAAAATAGTTCAGTTGGCAGCTGCCCGGTATAGAATCAGCAAATCTTTCCTGACAAAGAGAAAAAGAAAGAAAGGCTCATTACTGAACTTATCACCAAGTTCGATGGCACTGGTGTGATGACCAAGCAGAGCACTGCAGATGTGATCACCTTGTTGCTCAAACTGCAATGAAATTTGACGCAAATGGTTAAGCCAGACCTATCTTGGTCGAAGTCACTGACACTGATTTGCTGGCCTTGTTCACAGCATAGGCCAGAGATGAAATGGACCTCCATATGCTCTTTGGACATAACCCAGTATCAGTCTACAGCATTCATGAAATTCTGCAATCCATCATTCCCACAGTCAAGAACCATCTTATGTTTGTTCATGCAATTACGGGTTGTGACACTGTTTCATCCTTGTATCACCTGGGACCAGTTTTCACCTGGGAACAGTCACGTCAGTCCCCAGTAGGAAGGGGTGAGGTCATAGATGACACAACAACTGATCATGACTATAATATAATCACCAGTATACTACATAAAGCACAAGAACAAAATATACCATACAGAAAAATTAGGTCAAATAAGAATGAGCCAAGGTGGATGACCAGAAAACTTGAACATGACATGGGAATAAAGAAAGGAACATATAAGAAATTAAAGGGAGGGGAGAAGCAGCTCAGAAATAAGTATAATGAACTATCTAGGAATGTTAAGAAAAATGTAAGGAAAGCAAAGAGGGACTATGAAATCAAAATAGCAAGAGAATCCAAGGCTAATCCCAAGGGATTTTTCCAGGTGTATAGGACAAAGGTCAAGGACAAAGTTGGGCCTTTAAAGTCAGGGAGGGGGGAAGTGATAAATGGCAGTGAGGAAATAAGCAAAGCATTGAACAGCTACTTCTTATCAGTTTTCACAGAAGAAATTTGCGATGAAATTCCAGAGGTGGGACTGATATTTAAGGGAAAGGAAGAAGAGAAATTAAAGAATATCACTATCAGTAAAGAGGATGTTCTTAAGAAGATAAATAAACTAAAGAAAACAAAATCCCCAGGGCCGGATGAAATTTTCCCTTGAGTCTTGAAAGAGTGTAGGGAACAGATTAGCGGATCCCTCGTAAACTTATTTACAAAATCATTAGACACTGGAGTTGCCAGACTTGTGGAAACAGGCAAATGTAGTACCCATATTCAAAAAGGGAGACAGAGCATCAGCGTCAAATTACCGGCCGATCAGTTTGATATCAGTAGTGGGGAAATTTCTTGAATCAATTATAGCAGATAGCATCCGATCGCATCTAGAGAAAAGCAAATTAATCTACGACTCTCAACATGGGTTTACAAAGGGAAAATCTTGTCTAACAAATCTGCTAATGCAGTGGTTCTCAACCTTGTTTGCCCCATGCACCCCTTTCACCATATGTCAAAATGTCATTCCCCCCTCCTTCCCAAGATTGTCTGCCTCAAAAAGTGCATTCCAAATAATATGCATATAATACTGAAAATCCTTTATTTTTTCCATATTCGTATCAGTTTCCCTATGAAAACCTGAGGGGGGAAATTCCCCCCTGGTTGAGAACCCCTGTGCTAACGTTTTTTAGGAAAGTCTTCGAGGTAGTAGATAATGAAGAAAATTACGATGTTATTTACTTAGACTTAAGCAAAGCATTTGACAGAGTACCGCATCAGAGGCGACTGAGAAAAATTAAGGCTCGAGGGGAAAGTTTTAAATTGGATAAAATCATGGCTCACCGATAGAACACAGAGGGTCAGCGTAGATGGTGTTAAATCTGAGTGGGGCCGTGTAACCAGTGGGGTTCCCCAGGGGTCAGTACTAGGCCCACTCTTGTTCATAATCTACATAAACGATCTAGATACTGGGATCAGCAGTGACATAAGCAAGTTTGCGGATGACACCAAAATAGGGCGGCAAATTAATTCAGGCCAGGATGCAAATGCATTACAGGAGGATCTAAATAAACTGCAGGGATGGTTTGAAAAATGGCAAATGAAATTCAACACCAGCAAGTGCAGCGTACTTAATATTGGAAGAACAAATACTTATAATGTATACAACCTCAACAACATCAACCTAGAGAAGTCGACTTGTGAAAGAGACCTAGGGGTACTTATAAGCCCGGACCTACGGCCTAGAAAACAGTGCATTAATATTCGAAATAAGGCAAACAGAGTATTGGGTTTTGTATCTAGAAGTGTAAGTAACAAGAGTGCAGAGTGTGTTGGGATGTATATCCTAGACAAGGTTCTTCAAACTCCAGATGCAAGAGCAGTAGATATATCCAATAAGTAGTACCAGACTTGGCAGGATAGCCGACCGATACAGAAGCAGGAGCGAGCACAAGGGACTCCGTGTAGTAGGCAGGCCGAAGCCGATCTGAGGGAAGTTAGCTAGCTAGGCAGGGA